GTGACAATAAATCGCATTGCACATTCAAGTAGCCTTAAATAAGACAAATCTAATAAAAAAAGAACCATCTAAATTGCCCAAATATTGAGCTTATTCCAGTCGCAAGTCTGTTAGGGGACAATCATTTCTGGACGGAGGAAGTACTAAGGGGCATCATCAGAAAGAGTTGTTTGGAGAGAACTGTTGCTAGTACTAGTAGTATCGTCACCACCCACTGAAAACACCACTGCTGTCATCATCTTGGGAGGGGCTCCTACTGTGAGGGTGCAGGTCACCACCACTGTTGTCAGATAGGTCTGCATCACTAGTACTAGTATGGCCATAATATGAACAATTGTCAACCATCAGAAGAAAAAGAATCATCATCATCCATCGTGCTGATGATATGACTATTTTATGTTGGTAAATACTATGATGGTTTGGGTGATAGTTTATATTCTGGTTTGGAGTGTTTTATATTTTCTTGGTTGGATATTACAAGGAGAGAAATGAATGAACAGAAAAGGTGTTTTATACTGTACAAAGTAATTGTTTAAAACTCTTTTTGGTATTTTTGTCTTATTTTGTGTAGGATTTCCACAGCAGTCTACAGAGGTAAAAATCATGGAAACTCCCAAAAAAAATTCCAAAAATGCATGATTTGGGCGGAGACCGGAAAAAGTGAAAAAAAAATCCTGCCGAGGACGGAGAATGAGTTTTCGTCGCGTTGCGCGCACTCCTATAATGACCCCTGGATACAGCACCGTAAGATTGAGATTTATTGCCCGATTAAATTCATTATCAAAAAATGTTCTAACCGTWACTTACGGTTACCGTAGTCAAGTACTTGGTACTGTACAGTAAAATCTTGCTCATCATCGATTACTGTACGGTACCGTATGCAAACGGTCTTCGATGACTTACCGGTACGAGTACCGTTCAGGACATGCTACTACTGCTCCAAAGTGAAACAGTACTAAGTGCCATATTTTCAATGCTTACATAATTATGGTTCGCTATTCCTCGGTGTAATACAGTAAGAGTAATCCATAAATATAAAATCTACGAGTGTCGTACGAGTTTGCTTCGCCGAAGTATCGTACGTACTTTACTCGAAAGTACGGTACGTTAAGACTTGTGCGTTTCTTTTAACGTTCGTTAGCTGGAGGTTCCTGTTCCTCCTTCCCACCTAGTTCTGGATTACGAGTGCTAGTAGTACTCGTACTGTTTACGGTACCGTACTGAATGGTATCCGTGCGAAATATTCGTAATAACTCTATTCGAAGTCCTCTTCAATTTTTCTTTCTTCCAGGSAATGCTTTCCTCGGTTGGTTTCAAAAAGGCGACAGGGAGAAATAGAAAGGACGATACGAAATCATACCAACCCAAACATTAGATTCCTATTGTTGCGAGTTCTTKAATACCCATGAGTGCCCGCTGTTTTGGATTCATAAAAATCCTATTAGGGTTGTCGGGCACCTGCCCTATTCTAGCTATGYTGCCTGATGTGGTGGTTCGCATGAAACCAGCTGCGCTCTCTCAATCTAAGTCCGTAGCGACCACGAGTGATGATACCGAAGGTTTTATTGAGCTTCTTGCTAGAAGAGCCCAGTTTGGAAGTCGCAAGYATTCTCTCGACGGAAACCTCGTTTTATCCCCTGACTATGATCCATTTCTTTGTGAGCATTTCAATGTAATCATTGACGCGACCGAAGAGGGCGAGTTAAAGATCTTGAAGTTACCACCATATGAAATGCCTGGAGAGAACAATAATACCGTGATGCTGGTACCACGTGGCGAGTGCTCCTTTGAAAGAAAAGCATACGCAGCGAAAAAGTTTTACGGTGCGAAGGCAATTATGATTTATGATCGATTGGGTGCAAGGTATCAGTGGGACATAGCAAACGAGCGTGTTGTCTTCCCTCGATCCCAATTCGATTATGAATGCGGCAACGGAAATATTTTCATGGAAAATCTTCCGCTAGATCCACCAGCCTATGACTCGATGCTGCTTGATCCTATAATGGGGATGACAACATCAACAACAACAGAGGCAATGGGGATTATGACCGTTATGAATCAAAACTCGTTATCTACTATCGTCGCAGAAGCAGAAAACGATGGTGGTAATGATGTTGAGATTAACATTGAATCAATTGGGGTATGCAATCTTACCGACACGGCATTGGACCCCTGTGAGTCGCAACTCTGCTTGGTGACATCCCATCTAGAAAACTCAACACAGTACCCTGTTTGTTGTGCATGGGATCTACCTATGACGATGCCCTCGGCAGATGACGCAAAGGACATGGATACAGATGATATCCTTGCCGTTTGGTTAACTATCCGGCAATCTGAACAAATATTTCAGTCGGATTTGCTTTCCGTTGAAACCRAGGTAACGATCGAATCTCTTTACAGCAAATCTGACTTCAATATCACTTACATATTCATGTGGTTATGGGGAACACTGGTGATGGGAGCAGGGGCGTGGTACGCAGCGGGAGAATACAGGAGATTCGGAGCCAATCTAGCGGCCTATAAAGCAAGCGAAGTAAGGAATGAACCCAGGAATCGTGACGATGATAGCGATCRAAATCGTAACCGTCATGGTCGCAGACGACGAAGTCCTGATCAGCTTCGTGGGGAAGCCGACAACGACATTGAAAAGGGAAAAAAGAAGAAGAASAAGAACAAGGACACCTCAAATGAATGTCGAGAAAATAATATCCAAGAAGCAGAAACTGACGAAGTAGTTTTCCAAATGGTGAATACTAAGAAGAAGAGGAATGAACAGGCGAAGAAGAAGAAAACTGGAAAGAAAAAAAAGGACGAAGTGTGGTCATTGCATTCCATACCACCCCCTCCGCGGAAACAAAAAAAGAAGAATTCACCACGAGAGAATACCGCAAGGACAACAATGACACGRATGGAATCTGAGACTACGATACCACAGACTGAATCCGAGACWGTAATACCACCAAGAGAATCAGAAGGCATAAAGTCAATGGAAATGAATATCTGGCATGTTTTGAGTAAGTCATTCGCTATTCTCTTGTGGATTGCAACTCCGCAGTTTTACCTCAACTTATTATTCTCTAACATGGCATTTAAAACAAGTCTTCGTTGTGATGGCGAGTGGGACCCTGATCTTGCTATTTTTTTTCAGAATATACAAGTTTTTTTTCGTGGTATATGGCCTTGGCTGTGCAGGGACAGTTTCCAAACTGATTTTCAAACCTCTAATTGGTGCATTGATACCAAAGCTCGGGGAGGTGTGGGTCGAAGAACTCAAAAAACCTGTCACGTGTGGTCTGGATGGCTTTACCATAACTTGCCACCTATTTGCCTTTGGTTGGGCAATAATATGGATATGGTATGGAATGACTCACTATCAGCCTCAGCAAAACCCTTTCTTTTGGCTTACTTTGAATGCATTTGGAGCAGCAGCATGCATCTATGGCGCATGTTTACTGAAGCTAAACTCTATCAAGATTGCCACGATATTGTTAGGGGCTATATTCATATACGATATATTCTTCGTTTTTATTACCCCATTCCTCACTGGGGGGGCTTCGGTTATGCTTAAAGTAGCTGGGGCGACAGATAATCCAAGCGGGGAAGCATTTTGTTACAAGTATCCGGATGAACGGCAATGCCACGGAATAGGGTTCCTCCCTATGTTATTTCTTCTTCCAAAAATTAATGATTATGGCAACGGATCGGTAATCCTGGGATTAGGTGATATTTTTTGTAAGTATTATATATGTGAGGGTGTAARCGGGTTATGTTTGTACAATGATCGAATGAATTCGTCTCACACAGCTCTTTGACAGTGCCGGGCTTTCTMATTGCATTCACCGCAAGATATGATGAAGCTGCTCGRTTGGTCAACGCCCATATACCAGAGGAGACYAGAATTAAAGCTCCGTCGAAGTGGTATCATGGGTTTTTTTTTCCGATGATGATCGCGTATTCTCTAGGTTTATTTTGTGCCTATACGGCCGTACTTTTGATGAAGCAAGGACAACCTGCCTTGCTCTACATATGCCCYATTTGTTTGGCGGCCACTTTTATAATTGGTCGAAAGGATATAAAGGATCTGTGGAACGGTGCCCGAGTATTCAAGTTAGCAGATCGTTTAGTTAAGAAAACTGAGCGAGAATGGGGAAAAGCTAGGATGAAGCGGTTTGCCGAACAACGATTACTAGAAAACTCTGCACAGGAACAGGCAGAGGGATCGAGACTGGAAAGTGATAATGAACAATCTTCAAGCAGGATTTTGAGAGCTCCCGTACAKAAACAGATAGAAGATTCGAGACGGTCTGATACTGAACGAACTTCAAACAATACTTTGAAATCATCCGAGCAATTTCCAGCTGAGCCTGCGACATCCTCCGATCTCGTGCAGCCTGAATCAAGAGATGTTTGTTTCGGACGCAAGGGACACAGTGGTACGAAGTATTTTCGGAAAATTGTAGCGAATGTTGCAGCTGATTCAGATGAAGAGAATTTTACCCCAGAATTATACAAGATCATAAAGATGAGGCTCAAGGGGCGCCGCTTCTTCAAGATGGATGACGATATTTGGAGAGAATTAACGAAGAAGGAAACGAARAAGGAAATTCGGATGGCGTATGTCTCCATCCGCAGAAGAAACAAAAACAAATCTTAGAAACTTGYCAAAGACTCTAGATATTGTTCATTAACCTGGACTTTCCTTCGGACTTCCTTTTCCATAATGAACTATTTATTGCAAAATCCCTTCAGCGCCATTAGTGTAGTGTAGAATGAATGAAAGTAATGTATGAAAGTGGTCGAATAAAATTCCATATTGTCTTCCATTTCCATAAAATTTTAATCTGTTTCGGTCGTCTATAACTGTATAACAGTAGCATCTCTCGATTTCTCAAGAAGCTGTCCTTCAATTCTGTGTGGTAGTCGCAACAGTCAGACGTGTTGAAATGTCAGGATTTTCCGTCGTATTTCATAGACTGGAAGTCGACTACAAATGMAACGATCGATGCATTGCATTCTTTCTCTTGCTGTTCAAAAGTCGACAGGCTTCATTCACAACTTATTGGTATCGTGCAGCTGTATCTAGATTGTCGGCTACGTATGAACAAACACTCCACACGCGCACCGYACTGACAATTGCACTCGTTCCAAAGAATAATTCCTATTCTTCTTCGGTGACCAGTTTTGTTAAGGAAGAAAAATCATCAGCAAAATCTTGGATATCCGACACCCAACACTCGTCGCAAACAATCTTGAGTAACAAGTATACAGCAACGCCGGGCATTGCAGCTAAAGTCCCAACGAAAATGAAAACAAGGAGGGCCACAATTGTGCTATCCGAAGGAATTGATTGCAATATCATCCAAATCGTAAACAATGCACYGAGCGAGCTCACCGCTCCACCCAAAAACTTTGCTAGACAGTATTCCCAAAAGTCACCACCGATCACAAGCATGGCTCCAAAACCACCACAGAAAGCTGAAGCCGCAAAATAAGTCTCTAACACCACAGTTTCCAAGCATATCTTGCATTGTTCGGGAATCATTTCGACTGCAAACAAACCAACGGGTACCACGCACAAAATAATRCCTAACGTGTACAAAGCAACCGAGAAACAGGATTTAAATCGACGTTCGTTTCTTGCCTCGCGGATATGGTGGAATTGGATTGCACGCACAATTTCCTCGGAAAGGCGACCTTTGGTGGTACCAAAAAAGTTGAAAATCATACCAATGTTCCTTTTTGCGTTGCGAAGGTCACTGTGTTCAGGCTGCTGACAATCGATAGGAGAAAGTTCCACCTCGAACTGATCGAGCGCCGCTGCCTCACATTCSTCGTCACMCAGTAACCTTTTGCTATAAGGYTCTACGTTCAGAAGATTCATTGTGGATTGGATACACCATGCTCGGTGAATTCAAGTAGCTGTGTATTGTCTTTCTTTCGGAACGAAGCCAAAAAAAAGCAGTGCCAGGTAACGGTCCTCGTTGAAGGCACTTTGCAYAATGTTTGGTAGCGCTTCAAATGTCGAGTGCGTTGCTGCTGTTACAGTCCAACACTTTCATTCTTTCGTTCTGAAAGCGAACATGYCACATACCTCAAGCGGAGGAACGYACCGTACTGAAATTACAGCAATCGGTACGAACTCGTGCAGAAGACGATAGTTATTGGAGTAGTGGCAATGATTGGAGTTTTCTCTCTCTCGAAGAAACAAAAAAAAGATTGACACCCTTCGCCTGGAGGGATGATTCTGGTTGGTGGTGATGAGCGCATTGTTATTWWTTWTTTTTTTATTTATTTATCGGTGGGATAAGTACGAACTCGTAGTCCGATGAAATTTCAAAATCAGGGCCTGCGCGTTCAAGAGTCCGTTCATTTCAGTATTTTTTTGTCGGCTTAAGAAAGAAACAAAAGCGTGATCTAGCGCCTAATTCTTGCGGAGGCCCGTGAGTTCGCAACAACAACCTCTTCACATAGTAATACTTTCTGTACCGTACAGTGCTACGAACGTTGAACCACCGTCACATTCGTAGGATTTCCTTTTCGTCTGAATCTACAATCTACTACTACAATTTTCATAGCAACTGCTGTACGGTACGAGTTACTGGACGGTACGTACGGTAGTGTATKACGTTACTGTACTGTTGTCTCAGTAATATTCCACCGTACGTACGATAGTTCAGGGGTCCGATAGTTCCTTTCCTACTGTAACATACTCGTACTCATACTCTTCTACTGTAGATGATAGTAACACACGATTTACGTTATGCGCCAAACGTAATCCAATCAATACCGTACATCTGGCCGATATCGTGCCGTACCTCTATCGACGAACTCTGGCAACTTGACTTTTGAATTTTCACTCGACTGTCAGTGCAGGGTCCCAAGAGGGAAAGAGGACACAAACTTCCCAAGATATAAGGTATCAGTTGGTATTTTTAAAAAGAGAAACAAATCGAAGTTACGGTAGTAGTTGCCGGCAGTGATGATGGAGTAAGGGAAGGATCTGGGATTAACTATTTCGACTCCTCCGCACACCGAATCCTTCGTTGTACATCGACCAAAGGACAACCAACGCCGGAAGGGGRAATCTTTGACAGTGTTGTTCGTGGACAAGAAAAAACCGGCAGACCCGCGACATTTGTTGCGCCAYAATTCCGAGTTGACGGCGTATTTCGAACGGATACACTCCATACAGAGTAAATTATTTTGAGGAACATCCAACCCACAATAAACGAGACTGYAATACCATGACAAGCAGGAACAATAACACACAATCTTCTCGAGAATTGCAAAAAAGAGGAATTCGCGAGACAATTGAAGGAAGAATTCCTAAGAAAATTAGAAGACGGAGTGACAGTAATGGAAGTGCTGGTAGTCAGCGAGAGGAGGAGGGAGCAATTGTTGGAAACGAAGAAGCACTGCTGGATCCTGTAGCCGCGGCAAGAAAGGCTCTGGAGATGTTTCAGGAAGTTTCGGGTGAGCCGGTATTGTCAGARGAAGCAAAAACATCGATTGAAGCCGATGAAAGAGGACAAAGAAACGAGCCGGTTGGAAGGGATACAGAAAACTCACAAGAAAAAAAGAAAATCGAAGAAGAAAAAGCTAAACAAAAAGAGCGAATGGAAGCYGGCGAAGCTATTCGGAGAAAATTTCAACCGAAAATTGTTAGTCTGCAAGAAAGCAACTGCTTATTATGATGCTGCTGGCGTTTCCACGGCTGTTAATACAAATTGGTCGGATATCTTGAATAATTATCATGTCAGACTATTTAGCAGTAGGCCTGCCTAAATAGCTTTGATCGATTATAACTCAACAATGGTTTCCATCATTCGCATTGTCATCCCAATTAAAGATTTTGTATTCACTAGCAAAAAATKTTTCCTAGTTAATTGACAGAAACAAAGATTACCGATGTCTTGATCTGACCTGTGCCTATTTATCATTACCACTGTGCACTGTATCGGATCGTTGTAAAGAAATCCAAAAGAAAGGGACTGCATGAAAGTATTAACGTGCGAWAGCTTATACGCCTAAAAATGATGCGAAATTCCACAACCGCCATTCGATTCGATATTAGCTACATGCTCGGATCCTTGGTGTTTGAATTACTTGCCGTATATTCAGTTGCAGATGCCACGACTTTCTGAATCACGTCGCTCGAAAAATCTACTCGCAACGAAAGAATTGTTTTCAGTTCTTGCGGTGAAAAGAGCGATGTCGTTTGATAATAAATAGACCAGTCRGATGGCTTTTCCAACTGAAGGATGGTCACCGCTTGGGACAACCTTTCCCATTGCGATGTCAACACGGGCACAGGGCCGGCCTGATCTTGATGCGAGGCCGAAGCAGTTGATAAGGCTCGCTGCATCAATGATTGCAAATGATTCTGGACCAGTCGAACTTCCTTGGAGAAAAGGAGACTGCCCCAATCCGTGAAGCGTTTGGGAATAGCGGTCGACGTGATGATATCCAAGAACAATTCCGATAATACACGGGCAATCTCTTGGCATATTGCTCGCATCACATCTACATCRCACTTCTCAAATTGTTGAAGCAGGTTACAATCCTCCATCGGACGAATCAAGGTTTTGTAGAGACGTGCATCATCCTCTGCACTCGAAAGGTGTTGCGCATCGAGAATGTCGAATGATTCACGCTCTAAGTAATATCGCAAAACCGGAACTATCGTATCTCCTTTGTAAGCCGGTGCATCGTCTAAACCACCACAAAATTCATTGACAAGGAAAGAAACTTGTGACTGCAGAAGATCCTCGTAATTTCTTGAATACCTAARCAGCTCTTCTCGTGCTAAGTGAACCATTGAGTTATTCCCCCCTCTTTGTGTYTCTTGTTGTGGGGCTTGCTCCGACTCTTCCTCGTCAGCGGATTCGAGAAGAGAATTCAGAAACTCCACCAACGAGGAACAAGCTGCCGATGCCGAATGAATGCCATTTARGGCACACAAATGTGTATCGAGACGGATTTGTAGGAATACACCTCCTCCCGTAACCGAAGACGCCAGCGAAGACGAAAGAGACCCAAGCAAACCACCCGAACTAGGTGCCCTTGCGATAGCTTTCGCAGGAGATGACGACGRCACTCCGGTATCTTCATCTAAAGCCCCGAGCAGAGCTTGTGCAAATGAATTGCTGTAGTTTCCACTCTTGGGTGGACTRCTGATTCCCCCATTGACGCTTGATCCTTCGCTCGAATTTCTCTGAGGTTTCGACGAAGATTCTTCGTTTCTTGGATCATAGCACCCCCTTTGCTCCACCAAAGCCTGGTGGATGCCGTTGCCACCGGTGTCGGTGGTCCAGACATCACTGGCTATGGAATGGGCTACCGTTCCGATGGCTTGGTCCGATCGCGTAGACGCGGCTCGTTTGAGTGCTCTTGTGGACAAGTATTGTGCGTCTTCCACTACGGACGGCACTTGAATCGATGCCCCRAAAATGATCTCGACCGGTGTGTTGTTGTCGGGATGCAGTGCMGACCGAAGTTGTTGCGTGGTAAGAAATCGTTCCARGCTGGCGTATTTCCAGGTCCATTCCGGTGATAGTTCCTGCAGAATCGTCGTCCGACTATCATTGTCTGAGTAGCTTTCGTTTTCCTTCACCACCACTTCGATGTATCGATCAAAAATCTGACAACAAAACGCTAGTCGATCCACCATGCCATCCAGATCGCTCAAATCGATCTCGACCGGGCGCGAAGATGAGTGATCTTCGTGATTGTTCTCGACGGTACTCATTTGAACCATCCAGTATTCGTCAATCCGAAAGTCTTCCATGAACCACATGGCTACTGTTTTTGCTARCGATTGAGCTTGCTCGTCTAGTGTATTCACGGAACGAACACACATTTTGAACAGAGCAGACTGTGGCGGCAAATTCGATCTCCACATCATCAATGGATGAATCAGAGCGCTGGCTTGGCCCAATATGGTTGCCAGGACATGTATGTGCTGCCTCGACGACGAATTATCGYTGTCGTCCTCTTCGGTGCTGTTGACGATCATTCCACTCATCTCTTTCTGTCGCTTTCGATAATCCACGAGCCTCGCAATCGACGGCGTTGCTCGCTGCCGAATGACCTGCCTTTGATACGACGCATAAATATCAATGATTTCGTCCACATTCTTCTTGGTAGATTCCAGTTTCCCTTCCCCGTCACCGTCACAACACAAGACCAGGTTGAGTTCGGCAAGCCTCGCCGTAGCAGACTGGCACTCCTTTTCTTCCTCCGCRTGGTAACCCTCGTCCTCYGGGTCGGTCTCTTTCTTCTTCACGGCGAGCCTCAAGGCCTGCATGGCAACACTGGTTGTTTTCTGCAGACAGAGATTTCTCATTTCGACCTCKATTTTGTCTGCTGCAACTCCATTTTCCGGGTTGATGGCCAATGGAGGGGAATACAGCCGTGCCAACAATCCGTCGACGTCGTCCAGCATCTGGAAACAGACGTCGTTCGCGACAACCGCCACCGAGTCTAGTTTCCGACGGAGCTCTTCCGTTTGCATCAGAAGATTCGTGACCCCGYCCTGAAACGTCATCGTTGGCGATGATCCTTCTCTCGCATCTTCACCCTGGCCTGTCCATTCCGACATTTTGGTTGTCTTGCCAATGGGCACGAAAACACTTCGATTTCTTGCAGAAGCAGTTTTGAAATTTTTGAGATGCGTTATGAATTTCAATTTCTTCTAGAGTCTCCCGAACTGTACGTACGTACGCTACGGACTAATCGTAGTCAAACCCGACCCGGCGCAGGCAGGATGCAGGCAGAAAAGGTCCCAAAATCAGAAGCAAAAGCGACCGATTCCGATTCAAATTTTTCATCGWTTTTTACATTAAATTTATTATTTTTCTAAATTTCTAAACTTTTTGAAATTATTGTCAAAATATTTACTGTAATTTAAATTGTTTCGAATTTGAGATCCCATCCACGTGGAAAAAACTCCTTTTGTCCCATCAACAATCTTCATCGATCATGCATCTGTGCTCTCTCGCCAGACTTCACAATGATACCGTACACACGAACCCATTCTGTCTCAAAAGACGCATCCGAACGATCGCACTCTCTCATTCTTCGAAGCCAAACTACTTCACACAATCGGTACAAGGAACAACCAACTACGTAGTCTGCTTGCAGTTGAGACACACACCCCAATTCGACCAACACAAAAAAGATTAGCCACAGAGAAATAAAAAAAGCAGGGATGACGACGTATACACACAGCAGTGGTCACCGACCRCAGTTCTTGACGGCGGTTGCGATGTACCTGCTCGCAACAACCTTCTCGTTGGCGATGTTTGGTCACCAAACGATCACACCGGCACTGGCTTCGTCGTCGCCGCCGATGCCGTCGTCGGGCTCGACCAGGCCACTGGACGAAAACCGTTTTGTGCGGCTGGCCAAGAAACACTATCAGAAGGCCAGGGAACTCGCGCTGATCGAGCAACAGGTGGAGGACCACAACGCCAGGTGGATTGCTTCCTCCAAAAACCGCGCCGAGGCCACCAGCAAGCGCAGGCTGATCTGCCTGCCCCTCGACGAGCGGTTCGATCCCCCGATGGGAATGTTCAGCCACGGCCACACCCAGACCGGGGACAAGATATCGCTCCCGCCCTGTTTCATGACCACCATCAAAGAGAACAAGGCCGAGGTTCCCTGGCTGTTCAAGGTAAGCCGGGTCGACGAGTGCGGCAGCAGCGGCRACAAGCTCACTACGGGAGAACGGGTCAACATCGACGTCGTCGAAAAGGGGTTCGCGGCCCAGCCGGACCTGAAGGAAATCGTCGGCGGCCCCCTCGACTGCCGTGCCCCCGCCAACTACTGCTTCATGCCGTGGTGGATGATGAGGGCGCTGGGGCTCAAGCCGCTCGACCTGGTCGACGTCCAGCTGATCACGACCGTCCCGCCGGGATCGATGGCAAAGTTCCGTCCCCACTCGGCKGCCTTTGCAAAGGACATTTCGAACCCGCAGGCCGTCATGGAGACGGAGCTCCGGCACTATTCCTCCCTGACCAAGGGTTCCTCCATCGCGTTCGACTACAACGGGAAGCGGTACTGGTTCGACGTGGAAGAGCTGCGGGCCGCTCCCAAGGGAGAGAAGGTGTCCATGGTCAAGGTCCAGGACTGCGATCTCGCCACGGATTTCTTGGTGTCGAAAGACGTCGTCAAGGAGAAAAAGCGCAAGCTCGAGGAGGCCCGCAGGGCCCGGCTCGAGGCCGAAGAATAATCGTTTTTTTTTAAGAAATTCGGAAAAATTCGGAAAATTCTCTTCGAGGGTTGGTCTATAATTTACGTGCCGTAGTACAGTAGTTGCATRTGTTATGTGCCGTGCCAAAACGAGCACAACGAACAAAGCAAAAAGCGATGCGTTCGGAGCAAGCCACAACGGGCGAAACGCGGTCAGGGAACACCCGTTCGTTCGTTCGGTTGTTTGCTTCGCTCGCTCGCTGCTTCGTTTGTGCGCCGCGTTGGCAGGGCGGGCCGGGCTCACCCCCGAAAGACGTCGTAGGAGACCAGGAGCAGCGCCCCGGCGACGCTCCGGACGATGTTGGGGCCCAGGCCCAGGTAGAAGCCCCGGGGGCCCTCCCGGGCCAGGATCCTTCGAAAGGCGTCCAGCGCGCCGGCGTAGGTCCTCGCGGAGGGCGGCTCCCCCGCCTGCATCATGAGGCGCCTCCGGACCGAGTCGATCGGGTAGCAGGCGGTTCCCGCGAACAGCGACACGGCCTGGGCCATTGCGAAGCGCTCCGCCACGGAAAGGCCGGCCGKGCCGGGGCTTCCGGTGGCACCGCCTTCGCCCCCCCGGCGGTGYAGGAGCTCCGTCTTGCAGGCGTCGTAGCCCCCCATGTGGAGGGCGCGGTAGAGGACGACGCCGGCGAGGGCGATCCCGTAGCCCTGGTAGAGCCCCCGGACGCCGTCCCTCGCCCAGATGGCCCCCAGCAGGTCCCGCATCCCCCCCGGGTAGGCCCGGGTCCCCTTGGAGCCGACGTCCAGGGCGAGCCGCGTGCGCATAAACTCCACGGGGTACAGGAGGGTCGTCGTGGTACCGCCGGCGAGGCCCCCCGAGAGGAAGGAGGCGGCGACCCTCCGGTCCCTCTCGCGCCGCCGGGGGGGGCGGTCCCTCCCGGCCACCGCCAGGGCGGTACCAACGACCGGGGCGATCGCGGCCTTGTAGCAGTCCATGAACATGAAATTGAGCCCGGAGGCCCCGGCCTGGCGGAGGACGTTGGGCGTGTTGCCCCGCCAAAAGGCCAGGACCCCGCCCTCGCTGGAATAGATGCTTTTGCAGACCTCCCGGGCGCTCCATGCTTGTCCGCTTCCGAACCGTCCGGTTCCCGGTGGGCCCCTGCCGGGGGGCAGGGCCCGCTGGAGCTGCAGCAGGAGCTTGACGCGCTCGATGGGGGCCGTGGCGGTCCGCGAGACGACGCCGGCGGCGGCACCRGCGGCGGCGTTTCGGGCGTTRGTGGGAACCTTCGGGGGGGGCTGGTTCCCGGCGGCAYCCGCMTTGTCGGTCGTGGTTGCGGCCACCGGTGGCGGGTTCCCCTCCGGGCTGGTTGCCAGCCGTCTTTGCCCCGTCGGTGGTGGCGTTGTTGGTGGCGTTGGTATGTAGCGACACTTCGGTGGAATCCCCGGTGGATCCGACTCCAATGGTGGCCACCGGTTCGCAACCGGAGCACTGCCTTCCTTCCACTCGGGCCTCGGTCGTTTCATCCTAGCGTGGGTCAACCACGGTGCTCGTGCCGATTGTTCGATTGCACCGGAGACGAGGGTTGTGTGCCGTGCTGTGCCGTGCTGTGCCGTGCTGTGCCGTGAGTTGTTCCAACCTCCGAAACGGACACCGATGGATCTCTCGAAAAAGAGCTTGTCTGTCGTCCGGTGGTTCCGTGGTGTCTCTCCCGGTCCGTTCTGTGCAAGCGGGCTCGGTGGTCCAACGCAAAGCGGTGACCGATGCGTCTTCGCGGTCTCGGTCCGTGGTATGGAACGGGCACAACCACCAAGAGGGTCCGTCGAATTTTCTGAGAAAAACCGAGAAACCTGCCTATTGGTTTAGTTCGGGAGTGCCTCGGGTACGGTACGGTACGGTACGTACCATCCAGTACAATTTTTTACGGTACGTACCTGCAATTCCACTACAACAGAATTACWGGTATCATTTTTTGTACCTGTACGGGCGAACAGTACGAGTGCTACGGTACGAATGCCATTTCGGACCGAGGATGGAGCGAGGAACCGACAATTCGTGCCTCCGTTTTCTACCGTACGAACTTTCCCCCTCCGAGAAAAATAAGGGATCACTGGTCTGGTTTCCACGCCTGGAAAGTSCCACCAGACGAAACCGCGCGAAATCAGTCACGGATCGAGCAACATTCACGCATTCGGCCCGCTCGCCTTCCCATCATCGTTCCACTTCCTCCGTTCGTACGACTACGAGTAGGTACGTACGTGCTACTGTACTACTAACGATCTTCCTTTGCTTCACATCACCCCCCAAAACGATTGGAACTCGCGATCCCCGCCGAGGATCCGTCCGGAACCGCCATACGAAAAACGAGCCATACCATACCATACCATACCATACCGTACCGTACGGTACCATCTCGGATTCGAAGGAACCACAAAGCGACAAGCAACCCCGCAATTCGGACACAGCCCCGAGGAAACCCACACAAACCGCGCAGAGACCACGAAATGGCCCGGCCCGGCCTTTTCGCCGTTCACCGGCTGGTGTGGATCGCCCTCGCCGCCTGGGYGGGAACCACGATGGCTGCCCCCGGAGCGACGGCGGGGGGCTCCCAGAGGCCCCCCCTCGGCCTGCCAGAGCCGGGCCACCGCGAAGGGCCTCCCCCTTGTGTTTYGTCGCGCGGGGTCCCCKGGATCGCCCGGGGCGGCGGCCCGGAAGATCCCGGGACCGGCGGCAAAAGCGGCAACGTCCTTCCGGCCCCCTCGGTGGTGGCGATCGGGGTCCTCGATCTCCCCCCGGAAGGAAAACCCGGCACGCGGGGCGTTCGTTCCTCCGTGGTGCTGGTGGTATCCGGAAGGGGGGCTGCCGAAATCGCGAACGAGAACGAGATCGAGAACGAACCGGCCGCACGGGTCGACGGGGAGCTGCTGGAGCGGTGCCTCCCACMGGTGGGATCGCTCCCCGAACCAAACCCGAATGGGGATCCCGATCCCTCCACCGCCGGGACCGACGCCGTTGTCGAGAGCCTCGCCCTGCTCTGCGACGCCCTCGTCGTGCGGGGGACGGGCGGAGGCGATGGCGATGGCGATGGTTCGAGGCTGCCGGAGGGCTGGGAGGACCTGCTGCGGCGSGGGGACGAGAGGCGCCGGTCCGCCGGGATGGAGGGATGCCGGCTCTGGACCGTGGCCGCGGGGGGCGGGCCCGCRTCCCCCCGCCCGATTTTCGCGAGGCCCGGGGGGGACGRCCCAAGCCCYCCCGCCGCTTCCACCTGGTCGGCGCTCTTTTCCGGGGCCGGCGGCGACGCCGGGGAGCTCGCGGCCCTGTTCGAGGGAACGGCGGAAGGCGTCCTCCGGTCGCACCCGGCCCGAAACGCCGGGGCCCCCGTCCGTCTTCCGTTGGTGTCGGTCGTGCACCGCGAGCCGGCAACGGGAGCGCGAGAGGCCGCGATGGAAGGGGACCSGGATCGATCGCCGCGGGCGGAACCCCCGGCAGACGACGGCCCGGTCGTTGGGGACGTTTTGGCGGAGTCCCGCCGGCGGTTGGAGGCGCTGGAAACAAGGATGGAGGAGTCGGTCCTCGGGCAATCGCCCAACCCCATGCCCCTGCTGGAGTTCGGGAGCCTGGTGCAGGGCGTCCTGGAAACCGCCGAGCGCCGGCTGGCAGAGGAAACGAGCCTTCCGGAGGGCTTGCGCCGCGGCCTGGTGAACAAAATCGCCGGCGAGGTCCAGAGGCTCTACAAAGACCAGCTGCAGGCCCTCCGGAACTACTACGGACGGCGATACGAGGCCGTGCTCGACGGGGACGCCGGCGACGGGGAGGCCACCGATCGCCGGTGGGCCGCGGCTGCCAGGCACGCGACGGAAGCCTTTTCGGCCGCCGCAGCGAACGCGGTCCCCGCCGTGTACCGGGAGGGCCCCTCCCCGGTGTCCTTCGACCACACCGGAGCGCTGGAGGGCCTGGTGCGGGACATGATCGAMTCCACCGAGCGCCGCAGGGACGAACGGGACGTTGCCACCCTGCTGGTGGCCGACGATGACGACGAAGCCGGAGACGCCGCAGCACCCGGCCGGAGGCTCCGCTTGCCGGAGGTGCCGAAGTGGGTGGAGCGGCTGGCGGCGAGGGCGTTCGTGTTTGGGGTGAACTACGTCCAGGGATGGCTGGCGTGGCAGGGCATCAGGCGAGCGGCGATCGAGCGAGATCGGAACCAGCCAAAGTTTCCCCTGTTTTAGGCGACCTCCGGCGAGGCTTTTGGTGCGCACCGCAGAAGATCACCCACCACGATCGMACACCGCATCGAAACCCTCATCGAAAGGGTCCACGAACGCGGGCTTTTGACCCGTATCGCATCGCTTGCAGTCGTTTTGTTCSCGGTAGAGTTCCTGGAAATCGCTCGAGCGGCGATACCCCCACGGAATCGGAAAATGGGTACAACCGCCACCGAACCACAAAAAATACGATGCTCCATCTAAGCGAAAGTGCAGACGAGTACGTCAGCAATTGTGAAAGTGATTCAACAACTTACAAGATTAATATTACTGTACTTAATAGAGAAACCAGATGTACCTAGATTGGGAGACATCTTGTTTCAAATATTCTATTGGAAACATGCTGGACTCGCAAAGCCAAATATTTGACGCAAATCAAATCAATGYACCGTGCCAAACGTGGCTGCGTTGATATCAATCTCTCGAACGACGTCCGGCTCATGCTGTACAAAATTGCTTCTTTCGACGAACATTTCACTGTACTCATTCGTGGATCTCCATTTACCAGTCCGAGTTCACCTATTATGCACCCACTTGGGATTATTTCCGTTGTTCCGGCCTCGTTCTCGAGCTCGGCGATGAGCTGTCCGAGAATCAAAATCTTTACACAGTCACTTTCGTCGTTTTGCCTCCAAATCAGCTCCCCCATCGTGGACGCTTCTCGATGAAACAACGAGAACAAAGCATCTGCGTCGTCATCACCCAAATCGCCTGGACATATTTCCTTGAGAGTAGAAACGAATTCTTCTTTTTCTTCTTCGCGCGAGAGCGTACCACTTTGAGTATCCAGTTTCAACTTCGAAAGCAACTCATCCTGTTTGACGAGGGAAGGCGACTGTCTAGCGATCATGGCATCTTCGGCCTCCATTAGCGCTACATCGAGTGAATCACATACGCGGCTGCCGGTGTAYGGCGAATCCTGACATCTATCAAGAAGTGATGTCTCCTCGTCGGGTAGAGAGATAGCAGGGTCTACAGAACCTTTATTTGACGAAAGCTGGCCTCGTAAATCGAATTCTGTTGGAAAACCTTCCGTCGATCCAGTCACATAAAGACAAAGCTGGATGCCATATTCGTTCAAAATTGTGTCGTTTAGCTTCACAATCCCATGGGCTGCCGATGAATCAATCCCAAGCACAAGAGAGAAGTCCATGATTAATACTAGGGGTGACTTCTTATCTATCTCATCAATGGTTCCGATTCCGTTGCTTTTCGATGATTGGCCTGATGGAGGAGAAAGTAATCCATGTATTTGATCCGTAAAAAATGCCATATTTCCGAAGAATAAGTGGCCCTGGAGTTGTACAACCAAAATACGACTGCGTCCCACATCGCTATCGACTAAAATAGCCTCGGATGCGGCTATCCGATTCCAATGACTAGAACGTAGTGTTGTTGCAGGCATAACCCCGCGAATGGGGCTCAAGTATGCCACATTTTGAACCGCATATGTTGAAACCGCAGCTATACCTCCGGCAACCATGGCGGCTTCCATCCCATATACGCTCATCACGATGACAATCAACCAAATACCAGAGTATTCAAGCAAATCGAATTTTCCATACGAATCCCACACACCCTCTAAGAATAGATCGATGCCGACATGTAGCAAGAGCGCTCCCGCCATACATCGTGGAATATGACTCGCGATACTTGGTCCCACGAAGAACAATCCTACAGTTACGGCAGCAACAGCTAATCCAGAAACACGCCCCTTTCCACCAGATTTGTCATAGAGCACCGACTGCGTGTACGCTAAATAATTTTGTAAACCACCTCCAGCCCCCGATAACATATTTGATATTCCATGAGCAACGAGCTCTTTGTTCATATCAACATCAACCTTTGATGAAAGTGCAAATGCAGGGATATTTATTGGGACGTGTATCAGTGAGAAGAGAACCAAAGCCAGCATTGTTGGAAGTGAATCTAAAATGGCTTTCCAGGAAACGGAAGAAAAGTCTATAACCTGGAGTGACGAGTTCGAGGAATGTGAGAAGGATGTCAAGCATTCATCAATCGGAAAACATCGTAGCAAGATAGTTGGCGGAAGTGAATCAAGCAACGCTCTCAAGCTTTATGGCGTACCTTCCACAAGTCCCACGGCGTTCCGAAATTTTCGTTGAATGGCATATCGCTTTCATCCGTATCTTCCACATTACTYAGTGATGGGAAGAAATATCCGGCATCTTTCGAGTCGGCAACTGGTATCTTTAAAATCCAGAGCGTTAGATAAAAGCATGGAGTGATCATACAGAAGAAGATTGGAGATAACAAGGCAAACCGTGGATTTCCTTTCGAATCAGCTGTCATGTACTCTAGAAGGCGCAGCATAAGTTCTAGAAATAAGACAACACTCCAAAGGTTCCAGCTTTCGATCAAAGTTATCATCGACACTGACTTCGATATCGTATTCTCCAGACCTGTTTTGCAAAGAAGGATGCCTATTCCTCCAATTAATCCGATCAGTACATGAGTTGGAAAAAAATAAACCACCTTCCCCATTTGAAATTTACCAAGTAGGAAGAACACCAAGCCTACAAGGACAGATGAAATTGCGAACATAACCATCACAGTTGACAATGCTTCYAGTCCGTATCCCTGATGTGAAATCGCAATTKTGGCTAACTCTTTTGTAAAACCGATGTTTTCAACCATCTGAAGACCTATAGGATTTTTGAACCCCGAAAAAAAGGCGAAGACAACTTGGCCAATAAATGTACTAAACAAAAACATTCGAATACCAAACGCTTCTTTTCCTGGGATCGGAAATTGTCCTTCTTCATGAAAGTCAGCGTCACCGACGCTATCACTTGCAATAGCTCCTGGAGAAGATGCATCTCCAGGGTGAGAAGTCCAGTACATTGGAAAGTAGGACACTCCGAAYGGGATACCAACCATTAGATGGAAAATACCAATTAAGGCGATTGCAGGAATCTGGCCAAGCACTTTGCAAATGAAAGCCATCGAAAAGAACCCTTTTCGACTGAATCCTTCGTCTGGTTTAGCAGTCGCCACATTTCTGACTTCTTCATTCGTTYGATCATCGAAAGGGTTCACCCTACGACTGCTAGCTAAAGCAGTATAGCTATGGGATCTGAATGAAGAATTGAAAGKACCAAGATCCATATTCCTGGAACTAGGAACCGTGGCAGCGAGATTCGTACAGGAAGATGCATCAATAGAAGATGACTTCCTCAATAGAAAAGATTGCCTTCTTGATCTTGGCGTACCAGGTGATTTTCCCTGATCTTGAGGCGGATCGGAATTTAAAACCATTCTGGAAACAATCGAGTGCACAGTGTGCGCTGGAATAGTGAGGGAGGGTCGCTTCACTTTGTTTCAAGTTATGACACCTTGCGTTTGTGGAAACGTTTGAGAAGCTCTTGGAGATCTATCGCTTCCTTATATTCTTTTCCTTTCCTAATCAGTAGTTGTGCCTTATATTCTTTTCCTTTCCTAATCAGTAGTTGTGCCTTATATTCTTTTCCTTTCCTAATCAGTAGTTGTATTCGTGGACGTTTCGTAGTCCTATTTGCACCGATAATATCTCCTTTCATTGCTCTCTTCGGCAAACGTAACAGTACTTGTACACTCGTTCATTAACCTTGATAATTTGATTTTCCATGCGGGAAACTTGAACTTGTTCTTTCATGTTCATGATTGAATCTTCGATTTTTTGAATCGAGAACGACTCCGAAGACACGCAAGACGTTTCGTTCGACAAGAGATGTTTTTTCGTT